TTYTCTTTTTTTTCAGTAAGAGGTTTTTATTTAATAGAATTTTTGGACAAAAAATCGCAATATATCACAATATATTGCCTTGCTTACAGTATCGCAATATATCGGGATATATCGTATCGTGACCCCTCTGTTATGCTATGTATCGTATCACCAAATTCTTGCCAATACACAGCCCTATTAAATAGTAGTAACACATGACAAGATTTGTGCTAAATAGTCTTTAAATAGTTACTCAACTAAGCAGATAATAAAAAGAAACACTGAGGCTGTGTCTCAATTCATGGGATGCAGCCGAGGTCGGCCGCACTTGTCGGCTGCTCACGTCACTGCCCCACGCTGTCCCAATTCGTCGGCGTCTACAAGTGCGGCCGACAAAACCCCGAAGATCTCAACTGCATCCGAGTATCCTAAGTGACTGACGGTATCCCAGAATTCATTGTGATGTCAGCAAATTTAACAGAAAAACAAAGATGGCGTAGGTTTTATTTTTATTCTGCCTTTTTAATTTTTTTAATGACAGAGTTTGTAAATTTACTATAGACCAAAAAAATGTAAGTTAAGAAACTTCGCTGAAGAAAATTTTGTTGCAATGAGATGTTAAATCAAGTGCAGCTACAAAGACTGATACTGAAGCTAAACCCAAATTATTCATGTGTTTTATTTATTTACTTGTAACGTTTTTCTATATGGCAGAGCGTGGTCACGCAAACATACGTCTTATGTAGACTGGACCGTCCCATTTCACAGCCGTTATACAACCTATGAATTGAGACACAGCCTAAGATATGGTTAAAAAACAAACTTGTTTCCACAAAAAGCTGTGAGTGCTTTGGTGCTGCCCTCAGCACAGAGAAAGCTTTTATTATCAATTTGTTCAGTTTCTTTGAGTCACTGGGAAAAACCTTTTTGATGAATATGTTTGAAGTGTCTGTAAATAGTTTACACAACAATGTTCAGCATCTATAAAGATGAAGGCTATCTAGCTTTTTACTCAACTTTCAGAGTTGTCCAGATGGACAAATTTGAAATGTGACTGGGTCTGAAATGGGAAATGATCCAAGAGTTGATCTGACAGAGGACCATTCAAACCAGAAGGGGACTAATTATGTATTCTGGTGGGTGAGATGTACCAATGGTCAGCATGAAACAGACAACTATTAAACCCGTACACATTGGCAGAGCTGTGGAGTGGCACTGTGTATGTTGTAAAGGCAACAAAATGTAATCTTCTCCCGAAGCTGAGCAGAGATGAGACAAAAATCAGACAACGTGACTGCGGCTAAACAAGCCAACACGTAGTCTGAAGAACATTAGGACCAAAATCTGCTATTGATTTTTGTTCCACAAATTTGGTGCAGACCAGGTCCCAAACATCTGTACACTTTTGTGTAGCTGCAGTTGAATTTTTTTTTTTCGGAGAAGCTGAACGAAGTATGTGATTAAATAAATACTTTTTAAAGTATTCTACTTATTTTGAGCAAAATAACTTGGCTAGTTGCAGCACAACTGCAACAACTATAAATCCTGGGGGATATGAGTTAATTTATTCTGTAAAAAAATATAAAACTAAAAAGTAGCAAGCGTGAGATCTAGTGATGTACCAAATGATTATTTTCTAATCGATTAATCTAATGATTTTTTTTTCGATTAATCGATTA